AGAGAGACAGAGAGAGACAGAGAGAGACAGAGAGAGACAGAGAGAGACAGAGAGAGAGACAGAGAGAGACAGAAAGAGAGAGACAGAGAGAGACAGAGAGAGACAGAGAGAGACAGAGAGAGACAGAAAGAGAGAGACAGAGAGAGACAGAGAGAGACAGAGAGAGACAGAGACAGACAGAGAGAGACAGAGCGAGGCAGACTGACAGAAAGGGAGATGGGGTGGGGAGAGAGTTTATGCGACAGGACAAAGAAGTCAATAACGTATCTGTTGCGCCTCTCTGCCACCCTGCACTTTAACAATACCCACACCTGGCCACTCCTGACTGAATTCTGATTCACCACGGAGCCCACTATTTGACTCTATTTGATACCAAAAGAGGGGAAAGGAGAGAAACGTTGCAGACGCACTTGACTGTAGTGAAATGAATACTTTGAACTTCATTTGCTTGTCCATGAGGTTACTAGAGCAGCGAATATAATATAATAATAAATTATTATATTATTACATTCTTTAAAATTTTCTCTTTTTTTTACATATAAAAAGGAAAGAGCGGCGGCCATGACAATGCCCAATCTATGATACCTGGATACCTGGAGTTGTCATCTCTAACTCAGAAATTAACGTTTAAAGACCTTCCCTCCTTTACGGTAGCGAGCTACCGTTGCACATTTTGCCATATCCAGGCCAGTCCACGTCTTTATGCTGTCCATCCATGTTATTCTTTGTCTCCCCCCCCCCGGCTCTCCTGCCCTACATCTTTCCTTCAAGCACCTCTTTTACAACGGTATACGATATTGTCAATTAGATCTCTAGACGGCCATGAATGTCCCCGTTCTAGTATGTCCTAATTCAAGTCTCTTGAAAGATCCAGCATCTTCCCGTCCCTGAATCTCCGGGCGCCCTCAGTGCGCACGTCCCCGCTACAAGGTGTTTCATCAATAAGATATAACCCACCCTCCCTCCCTCCCTCCCTCCCTCCTCCCAAAGGGGAAATTCCTTTCGGACCACTGACTGAAACCTTCCTTTTGGACCCGTAGTGTTCCTCGATTTCTTGCTTCAAATTTAGAATCGATGTTTCGCAGTACTCCTTATTCCGTTCGCGAAATTCATGCAGTCTTTTGAAATAGATACAATTGGCGATTCTGAAAGCCTGTTGTGTATCTGTTGCCTCTCCCCCACCCCCTCCCCTCC